CCCCCCGCGGGCCGACCCCTACCGGGCGGAGGACGAGAGCCCGGCCCGCTTCGTGCCCCGCTTCAACTTCTCCGCCCGCGACCTGCTGCGCCGGGTGGATTTCAACATCAAGGGCGACGACCTGATGGTTTTCCTGCACATCCAGAAGACGGGCGGCACCACCTTCGGCCGCCACCTGGTGCGCAACATCCAGCTGGAGCAGCCCTGCTACTGCCGCGCCGGGCAGAAGAAATGCACCTGCCACCGGCCCGGCGGGGACAAGGACACCTGGCTCTTCTCCCGCTTCTCCACCGGCTGGAGCTGCGGGCTGCACGCGGACTGGACCGAGCTCACCAGCTGCGTGCCCGCCGCCATGGAGCGCAGGGGCTGCCCCGGCAACCACACCCTCAGGTCAGTGCCAGCCGTGCCCCGCGCTCCGGGTGCGATGCCTCCCTCCGTCGGGGGAAGGCGGCCGCAGCGTCTGATGCGCCTTGCAAAGCGCCGGGTCAGACGAGGGCGGACCCTTGGAGGACGGTTCTGGGGAGGGCAGCGCTGGAGGCATGGAGGGTGACCGTCTGCCCCCTTCTGCAGTCCCGGCGCTACAGACAGCCACAGGGGTGAGCTGCACCTGCACCGGGCAGTGGCACTCAGCCTCTTGCTGCCGCGGAGTCTCACACTGCAGACCTCTGCTTCTTTTAGACCTTTCCCTCTTTAGGCCAGGTTTTCTCCCAGCCAGAGTCAGTCCTTTCTTCAGCCCCCTGGGCTAGCTCTGTTTAATCTGATCAAAACAAACCCTTTACAATGTATCAGCATCCTTAAAGGAATGCTGTTGAGTTAGCAATCACTTTTATGAATCCTCTAGCCTGATCAATGTTGGTAAAAGCACTTTTGACAAACAAGAATCAAGCTCTAAAAAGCTAACTTGAATTATTTCATGTATATTCATTTATTTCTTGCATTTCACAGTCTTGGTTTTATTTGCTTGTTCTCATGAACTAGCGATTGCACAATAATTAAATCCAAAGACTGGCTTTTTTAATATCTTACCACTGTAATGCCCAAAAGTTGCAAATAGGGTCTCTGAAACTTTCAAGTCCTTCAGAGCAGGAACCTTCTCTTCAAGCCTGCTGGTGAAGTATCTAGTACTGATGTGTAAAGAAATAAGATGGTTTGTAAAACTTCATTGTTTATATAACTTATATTTGGGCCCAAATTAATTCTGTTTTCTGGAGTTCTAGTAATGACTTTTTTGCTGGATTTCCCTGCTCTTTGTTATGGGATTTTAGTGGAACAGTTGCCTGTTTTTCCCTCTCTTGAAAGCCTATAGCTGTTGGTAGGAGGTGTTTGATTTTCTGAAATATAGGTTTTTTAACAATTTTGCATCTAAGGGATTTTGACAAATTTGGATAAGTTTATTCAATTACTTGGATCAGTTTATTCACTTATTCACATTTTTGTATACATGGACAAAAATGAGGTAATGAAACCTAAAAGTTTACTAAAAAAATTTATTGGACAGGTTCATATGTATCACCAAAAAATATAACCCCAGATACAGTTATGTGTGCAAATAGTGTTTATATTTATGATGCCTTATGCTTTATGATATGTTTTTCTGAGCTTTGTTAATTGTAGTTCTAAGCAGATTGTAAGTTTTTAATTTGTCTGAAAGTAATTCATTGGAATTAAAGGTTTATAGTCAGTTCAAGTGGTTGATAGTGTATACTGTTAGTCTTAGGAGCCAGAGAACATGCAAAAGCCATAATGGCCAGAGGTTTCTGAGATTAAATCTTGTATTTCAGGCCCCCCCCCCCCCATCTAATTTCAGGTCCTTTCCCGAGACAGTGAGTACAGTTTAATTATAAATAAACTCCACTGTCTGGCAGCTTTTCAAGAGCTCTTCCCAAGGGCTTTAATTAAAAATTACAAATCGGTTCACATTTGACAAGAAGGTCACAGCTCTGGACGTTCTCCTCCTATGCTTATTTTTCTCTATTCAGAACTATTTGTAACGCTTGTGGTGTTAAATCTGGATACATTAATTTACTGATAAACTTCTGGCCTAAATAGATTGCTTTACTTCTATATTAGCAGTACATATGCATATATATTCTTTGTACAATTTAAAGACATGAAAGGAATTAAATTCCCTTTTGTGATGAGATTACTATATTTTTTCTCCTAGGCTTACCTACACTTGTAAATTTACCAAAATAGGTAATTGAGAAAGTCACTCCTATTTTAGAATAAGAGTATCCTCTCAGGTTAATACTGAAATTACAGTTCTGGAATAATTATTCACAATAGCTATCCTGGTAAATTTGATGTGTAAACAGGCCCTTAAATGTTTTCTTCCCTCTGTTTTTTTCCTTTCTCCTCCAATTGCACTGTGTGAAAGACTGAGAGCAGTAGAGCTCTCAGCTGGAGTAGTATAGTCTATGTTTGACAGTCTACATAAAGCCAAAGTTAGAATCAAAAGAATGATTGCACTTGCCAGACACGTTTCTCAAAGCTATAATTAACATAGACTTAGGATGGCTACAGACTTTATAAATCTGTCTTGAGCTATGTTTCTGTCACCCCTTGCAAAAGGAACAAGGTCCCAACTTGTCAGTACTAAAATGGAAGACCTGGAAGGAGGAGCACTTGTATGCCCCAGGAAGTAACTTTTGCTGATCTAATAGGTGGCAGATTTCCTTTCGAGTCAGCACTGAGGTAGTCCTTCATTATATTGGCGGCACTGTATATAATCACAAAGCAGAAATATTAAGTGTATGTGGTTATTTAAAGTGTTTTCTACCATTACTTTTAATAAAAAGTTTTTAAAAAATCTTCAATTTAACTCTTTACATTTAATCTTTAAATGCTTGTGATGCCTATGTTCTTCCCTGTGAGCTTGAACAAAACCCTTCCTTGGTTAACTATTTGCTTGTGGAAATGTAATTGTTATGATAACTCCTCGTTTTCTGTTGAAGAATGGGAAAAGTATTCATTCCTCATTGATGAAACCCATTGACTCAAAAATGTTTTACTGCAGCTTCACATTGTTCTAAAATATTAATTTATATTTTGTGTATACAGAAAGAGGTGTGAGGGGAATTGCGAAGGGAGAGTTTCTAATGTGGTGCCAGTATATATACTTAGTTCCCATCTAAAAACACTTATATATGCTTATCTTTATTCATGTAAGTAGTCCCATGGAAGTCAGACAACTAATTTAATCCTCAACCATTTGGCTGTTATTTAAGTGGGACTAATTCTGTGAAATGTGAGCAATGGTATAGACATTTATGTTTTCAGGGCTTTGGTGTGATTTATAGGACATTTTGTACAAGTGTGTTTATACAATGCATAAATTTATAAAGATGTTAAATTATGTAAAAATTGCTTCTTTCTGGGAAATAATTTGGTCATTCAGTAATGTTCTAGCTCTTACTCAAACTTTTATCCGACCCAATCAATGGATGTAACTATTCACTGTCTCCTGTTGCTTGTATTGTATTGTATCATGTATCAGATCAAGAGAGAGTGGTAGCAAATTTTAATAGATTAAGGCATGGCCAACACTCATTTCTTTTATTAGGACTGCAGCTGAAGGATGAATAGAGGATTTTCACCTACCATTATGATAGTCTAGTCTATCCACATATTACCCTATTTACTTGAAACTTGGTTTGTAAAGTTCCTAAGGGTATGTCTACACTACAGTGTTATTTCGAAAGATCTTATTTTGAAATAACGCGTCTACACACAAAATGCATTTCAAAATAGCATTTTGCTATTTCGAAATAGCGCGTCCACACTGAGTGGACTCTGAATCGCATTTAAGGCTGGCCAGAACCAGTTCTGGCAGGGCACCAGGTCAGGACTTTCTGTGTGGGGCTGCTGCCTCAGGCTATCTGAGGTCTGTGCTTAAAGGGACCCCCCGGACAGCCAGTTCTCACATTTCCCTTCTTGCTTGTCTACCTCGATGAGGGACAGCAAAGAATTTTGTCTCTGTATACTCTGGTTGCCCTCACTGGGGACACCGCATCACTCTTTAACATGGAGCCAGAGCTGCCCCTGGGCACTCTGGTGCTTCTCATGGATGCATTGCTGCGAGCCTGGCTGCACTTTCTACAGGCTGCCATCCAGGAGGTCCACTGGGGGGCTGTCAGTATCCACGAGGCCCTGCGGGAGAGCTTCCACCCTGAGAAGCACTAAGAGCCTCCCTGGTCTGCCCAACGGGGGGCTTGTGCCTCATTCTTCCCTCACGTCCTTCCACTTACCTCTCCCTAACCACCCTTCCTGATGTCAAATAAAATACATGTATTTTCATGAACATATACTCTCTTTATTTAACAAAATTGTGGGGAGGGGGAGATGAAACTCTGGTGAGATTGGGGAAAGGAGGCGGGAGAGGGGAGGAGAGAGGGGAGGGTGAAACCTGGGAGGAGGGAGCTGGAAGGGGGAAGCAAGGGAAAGAAGGGGGAGGGGAAGCTCAGGGCTCAGGGTTGGGGGTCTCGATGGGCCAACTGTCTCCTAGCACTGTGGATGCGGAGGCCTCAGAGTCCCCAGGGGAATGGGATGAGTATGGAGGGTTCAGGCTAGTGTGGAGATCATGGACATTGGGGGCATCCCCCCAAACCTGAATAAGGTCCATAATCTCCACCCTGGACCAGGAATGTGCCCGCCTTCTCCAGGCCCTGGCAGGCTCCTGGGATCTGGCAGACTGCTCCTGGGGAGTGGGGGGGGGCTGGCTGCCAGTGGCTTGCTGGTTCATGTTTTGGGGCCACTGGGTTGGGGCAGTGACTGCTGGCTCCGGGCTGGCAGGCTTGGAGCAGGCACAGGCACTGTGGCCAGAGTTAACCCCTTTAAGGGCTCCAGGGAGGAGGGAAGGGAGTGGAGTGTTCTTGATTGAGGCTGGAGTAGACACCAGGGCTCCCTGGGAAGGTTGGAGGCCCCCTATTTTGAAATAAGTGTCCACACAGCACTTATTTCGAAATAGCTATTTCGAATTTGGCGTTATTCCTCGTAGAATAAGGTTTACCAAATTCAAAATAAGCGCTCTGCTATTTCAAATTTATTTCGAAATAGCAGTTTGGCTGTGTAGATGCTAGGAAAGTTATTTTGAAATAAGGGCGGTTATTTTGAAATAACTTTGCTGTGTAGACATACCCTAAATTACAGGAGTAGGCTTTTAAGTGCTGACTGCACCCCAGCTGTGAGCATTTTTCACTCCCACTAAAGTCAGAATCAAGCCCTAACCACCTGTTTTGTGATATATACAAAGCCTAGATCTACACTAGACCAGGCAGGTCAGCTTAAGATATGCCATTCAGCTATGCAAAATATATAGCTGGATTCAGCTTACCTTAAACTGAATACCTGCAGCAGCTACACTGCAGTCAGCTGACAGTAGCACATGCTCT